TAAGTTCAAGCTTCATCCGCATGTGTACCAAGTTGAGCTACAACGAAGATCAAGACCAAGCTTGAGTAATCTAGTTTAGATTCTATATTATGTGTGTTAGATACTCTAAGCTCAATATCTTATACACACACATTTATTGGTTTCTTCGTATATATATATAGTTATATATATATATATACATAAGTTTTGGTTTCTATGCATATATATAGTTATATATATACATACATATGTTTTGAGTTTTTATGGTTATATATATGAAATTCTATATTTCATATTTTCTATTATGTTTTTGAAAACATTGCATAGAATATGCAATTCTGTGAAAATATTGTATTCTTAGTTTATAATATTAGTTTATACATGTTTTACTAAGTCTATAAAAACATTTCACAAAGTTTTAAAAGTTGGTTTATGTCAAAACATCAAATTTCAAGTATCTTATATTTTCATGTTTTGGACTATTTTGTAAAATGATGATATTTTTTATTTGGGGAGTCCTTTTTGGAAACCAGTCATTGTAGCATGTTTATTATCATGTCTACAATCATTTCCTGAAGTTTTATATTTTTTGGAATTTATTTGATATTTTTAAACAATGTTTTAAAATTAGGAAATCAAATTTTTCATGTATCAGATTTCGGTCGACCGATCCGGTCGACCGCTCATATGTTTAGTCGGCAGTAGGCAGCAGAGAGTTTGTCGGTCGACCGCACCGGTCGACCGAGATCTCGCATCGGTAGACCGCCAGAATTTCCGGTCGACCGCCGCTTCGCCAATGTGACCGTTGCTTTCCCAACGGCTATTTTCTGAGCTGATTTTTTCTGGGCTTTTTGGACTTTTGCTTGGGGGTTTTGGCTGAGTTTTTGAGTGGGTATAAATACCCTATTGCTGCTCTCTTTCAAGGTAGCTAAGAAGTTTTTAAACAAGGGTTTTAAAAAGAGTTTAAGTTTGTTTTAAACTTGTTTAAGGGTTTGGTTTAAAGCAGTTTTAGCTTTCACAAGTGGAGGAGATTATCTTCTTGTTTGGGCCTCAAATCTCCATCTCTCCATCTTGATCTAGAGAAGTTTTCCTAAACTCAACTCTAGATTTTATTTATAATTATTTGTTAATTATCATTTCTATTAAAGCTAGTTTTATATTGAGTTTAGATTTGATTTTATCTCATTGTTACACACACCCACTTGAGCTTATTGTATTTGCATTCATAATATATTTGGGCTTGTGAGAGTTGTAACATTGAGTGTGATAGTTGAGAACAATCAATTATTATAATTGAGCCTAATTGTGAGATACACATTGTAATACACTTGTACACCGAGAAAAGTGTGTGGCGAGAGTCGGGGATCGTCCCAAGAGGAGTGGCGTCGGTTGACGAACCTAGGGAGAGGTTGTAACCGAGCACTTGAGGGAGACACGTCTAGTTCAACACTTAGTGGGTGTAGAGTAGGATTACATTAGTGTGTTGTTGTGAAGCTTGCGGTGAACTAGAAAACCGAGTGTGAGGAGTGGACGTTGATCGGTGATCGTTGAAAACCGACACAGTGTGGTTGTAAACGTTATTCGGGTGAACGTAGAAAACCCGGTTGTGATAGTGGATTTCTCCCCGGGAGTGGGGAGCGGAGACGTAGGACGGAAGGTCCGAACTCCGTGATCATATCTTGTGTTTGAGTGTGCTTTGGCGTTTATTTATACTTGTGTATATTTATGTTCATATCTTATATCGCCATTGTCCATAGCTCATTATTTATATGATCCACTATCTAATTCATATTATTTACTCCTTGTGTTAGTTTTATATCCTTGCATATACATATATCATATTGTATAGGATATATCATCTTGTGTTAGTTTATATATCCTAGCATATATATATATTCATCATATAGGATATATCTCATTGTTCATATTGCTTATCCTAGCTTATATAGTTGTTACATTTTATACTTGCTAGGATAACTTGTTAATTAATTTTTATTGGCATAAAATCGGATTAGATTAGCATAAGACCCTAATCACCCCCCTCTAGGGTCTAACAGTATTTTATTGATGTGGATAGTTTTGCCACAATTGCTGATAAACGTTAAAGCTATTCTATGCACTCTAATTCATTGAATGATTCCATGAGATGACATGCTAGATTGAGACACACGAGGCATGAAAGGATGCTCTGCCTAGCTTGAGGCGGACTTTTTGATTTGCTCGCTAAGATCTTTTTGTCTACTTGTGACCTAAAACCGTGAGTTATAGCTCATAAAATCGTGAATTTTGGACTCTGTAAATTTATGTTCCAATTTGTAGAAACAACTAAAAATGGACAACAATTATGTGTTATAACTCATGAAAGCATGACTTTTTGTCTTGCGTAGTTTATTTGTCAATGGGTAGAAACAACTAAAATGGTCAGAATTCATGTGTTATAGCTCTTGAAATCTTAAAATTTTAACTTCATGAAATTATTAGCAATGGGTAGAAATGACTAAATATTACAAAAGAATTGTGCGTTATAGGTGATGATTTTGTGAACATTGGCCAAATTATTTGCAATGGATTAGAATAATTGAAAATAGCAAAAAATCTTGAATTTTATTCTACCCGAAATTATTTTTCAATTGGTCCAGGTGACTAAAAATGACCACAAATCATGTGTTATATAGCTCATAAAATCCTAAATTTTGGTCTGCGCGAAATTATATACCAATGGGTTTTAATGAGTCAAATAGTTAAAAATTGTGAGTTATAGTTCATGAAATCCTAAGTTTTTATCTCTACAAAACTATACTGGAAATGATTAAAAATAACCACAAATAATGGGTTATAGCTTAATAAATCCTAAAATTTCGACTCCGCAAAATTATTTATCAATGGGTATAAATGATTGAAAATGGCCAAAAAATCTAGGTTATAGCTCATGCAATCCTAGATTCAATGCTCTACTAATATTTGGCAATTGGTACAAACACTACCACATAATTGATCTATTGCAACAGTTAAGGCGCAACGGTTTTAACTGTTGCGTTAGAGATCTATCGTAACGGTTTTCAGTGTCTAATACAACATTTAATGGAAAATGTTACCATAGACTTAATAATTGTTCCTGGGCTTAATAATTGTTCGTGGGCATTGGGAGCTAAAGTTTTTAAAGCCATCTTAAAGCCCATGGTCTCACCGCTAGCTTAAACCAAATCTCTCTCGAATACTCACGGAAAATTTTGGCCCATGGTCTCACCGCTGAACGAAAATCTTCTCTCTCCCCCCCCCCCCCTCTCTCTCTCTCTCAAATCCCTAAAATCGTCGTGGCCAAATTTTTCGCTCCCTAAAATTGCTGTGGCCAAGAGCATCATATAATCGTCGATCTCATCACTAAACTTGTCGCCGTTTTCATCTTGGATCTCATCTCCAATCTCCTCTCTGATCTCATCTTCGAGCTTTCTAGGGTTTGCTCCACTTATCTCTTCTCACGATATATGATCAAATCAGGAGGTTCGATCTTTCGTACTGGAGATCGAAAGACCCCTTGATTTCAGGTATTTTTTTCGATGCCTTCGTTTTCTCTAATTGCAGTTGTTTTACCACGGAATTGTTCGATTCCGCGCTTGATTTAGGTCTTATGTAGATTTTGAGTGCTGATGTGTGGACGAGAAACACTAGTCCCAAGAATGTGAATGGATATCTTGAATTATTATCATAGTTATTATTCGCTTCATATTTCATTTATGAGCAAATTTTGATCATTTATTGAAGAGCTCGTCACGTTAGGAGGATGTCAGTGAATCAAAATCACTTGCCTTTCGAAGTCGGGCAAGAGGTTGAATCAAAGAGCTTCATGAATGGCTATCGCAGTACTTGGTTCCGATGTAAGGTACATTTTTGGACCATGCTCTTGTTTCCAGTGGTTTTTCCATTTCCAAGTATTTTTATATGTTATCTTGCATTATGCTTGTTTATGATAGTTTATTATTTCAATGAATATGTTTATTTTCCGGATTGCTCAGATATATTTGTTTCATGGATTGGAGTTCTCCTTAGGTAGTTAAGTAGGTTGTTCTTCAAACACGGGTAAAAACCGATCTTCTCGTTTGTATCACAACTTCATCTCAGTTTTGCATGAAAACATATGATTGATGTTGAATTAGAAAATATGAGTTCACTGATTAACGATCTAAGTGTGCCTCCTCCTGGATCAAGTGACCTCAATTTCCCAACTCAGTACTCACAATCCTTCAGTACTCTTCAGTAAGAGTTCCTGTGGAAATGATGCATTCGGTTCACACAACATTGTTATACTCGGTTGAAGCTTTACAAGAAATTGTTCAATGGAAGAGAATCCTAAAGCTTCAATCTCCAGATGGGAGTTCTCTAAGTTCCCCTGCTGTCACAGCTGTTGCTTACATGAAAACTGGTGACAGTAAATCCCTAGAGTAATTAACTAACATAGTACAAAGATTTCGAGATCATGATATGTTGTCTTAAAGGAAACAATCAAATACTATTTCTTTGATTATTTGTTAATTGTAGAACATTTAACCACTCCTTAAGTGTTCTTTCAACACCATCGCAGTATCCAATTGACCTTGTAGAGCGCATATGGGCAATTGACACCATTGAGAGATTGGGAATTCATCAATTTAAACAGGATATCAATCTATTAGACCCAATATTATTGTATTGAAACAGATATCCTTCAGCACTTTAAACAGGATAATGGGCACTTCATATGCCAACCAGGGGAGACGCACACTGGAGTTTCTGATATGTTTAATTTGTACAGATTTTCCCAGATTTCATATCCAGGAGAAACGATACTAGAGGATGCAAAACCTTTACTTCAGCGTTACTTACAATATTGTATTAAAAGTCAAGTGGATGACAAGTGGTCATTGAAAAAAGATTTGCTTAAAGAGGTACTCTATTGATACTTTTGCTCACAATTCATCTTGATTTCTGTACCTGAAATCCTTTGTATTCGTCAGGTTGAGCGTGCGTTAAGATAACGATGGAAAATGAGTCTTCAAAGACTTGAAGCTAGGGAGTACATCGACCTTTATGGAGATAATGATCTTTGGATAGGAAAGACAGTTTATTGGTACTATAAGTTCCATACTCTTGTCAAATAATTGTTTTAATTAATGAGCCAGAATATTTCAGTTGTTACTAATGATGCTTGGATATTGTAGGATGCATAATGTCAATAACCCAAAATATTTGGAACTTGCTAAGTTAGAGTATAACAGGCTACAAGCTATCCACAAAAGAGAGATTAATTATGTTCTAAAGTGAGTTTAATTAGTTCACTTTGCCCTCCTTGTCTCAATATTTATAAATTCTTTTACATGATTCTGACTAGTACTTTCTCTATTAGATGGTGGAACAACTGTGGACTTGATGATCCTTTTGTCACTCGAATATGCCCACAAGAGATTTACTTCTCAATCACAGCAACTCTATATGAGCCGGAACTTGAAGATTGTCGGATAACATACACGAAATCCAACTGCATTGAGGACATTGTTAGAGATATGTTTCAAAATCATGGATCCATTCAGGACCTAAAACTATTTTGTCAAGCAATTGAACAGTAAGAATGTCAGCATAAATTTCTTTATCACTATCAACTATAGCCATACTGAAGAATATACATACATTCAGATGGAATCCTTCACTTATTCACTCCCTCCCGCAAAGAATTCAAGTAATTTTCATGGCAATGTACAATATATTGAATGAATTGGCAACTGAAGCAAGTAACGCCCAAGGAAAGGATGTATTCCCCTACTTTCATGACCTAGTAAGTAAATTTTCCAGAGTACAGTAGATTTCCCCCCCTTCAAATTATAGATATCTAATTCACTCAGAGGAATACAGAGATCGAAACAAGTACAAGATTACATGAAGAGTAGATTGATAATAGAAACGAAGCAAATATCCTCATGGACAGAATATTTCGAGAATGGTAAAAAAGATTGTGGTGTTGCCATCAGAACAGTGCCGACAATGTTCTTCATGGGTGAGAATATGGTGGATAATATTCTACGATGCTTGGACAGCCATTCTAAAGAGAATGACAGAAGAGGCCTTCCATTAGTTAGTGTACCAGTATCTAAAGCCTAGCAAAGTACCTCGCTGCAGTCGGAGGCTGATGTTTGAACATGGAAGAATAACTCACTTTTTCCTTGGTGATAACATCAGTACCCCGCTCACTGAAAGAGAGAGGATCAGCGATGCGATGGATAGATTTTTTTTCTGCAGTTTAATCAACAACAATATTGGAGGAACCTCAATTTCCCTCCATACACTTCAGTAAGATTTTTCTTCACATTGATGATAGCAATACTATTCGGGTCTATATTCTGGAGTATTGGCTCAAAAAGGTATGTCAATATATATAAGAACTGTTTACCATATGTTTTGCTAGGTTCATTATTTTATTATCTATGGTTTTGTTGGTGTCGTGTGGTTGATTGCATATGCTTGCTGACACTCTTGTAAGGTGGCAGTTTTGATGATATATGCTAGCTATTGCTGACCGATTGCAGTTCATGAGAATGGCTTTCATGCATCATAATTCATAAACTTGAGATATTGTCTCTAATTATGCACTTTTGCATATCAAATCGAATACCTTTTCCACTTTGTTCATTGTAGACTGGGAAATTTGATTCCATGATCTTCTATATAGGAAAGAAGTGATGATGTTGTTTGAAATTTCATTCTGGTAAAGTAGTTCTAGAACGCATGGCTTAGACTTTTAGCTCTTAATGATTAATGATTGTTTTGTTGTTTAATGTTAAATCCTAGCTAAATTTAATTTTCTAATTTCCCTAGCACCAGTAATTCTTTTATGCTTTCTATCCTTCCTCTCATTTCTTATTTTTCTCCTGTTTTACCTTTACAGTCTATTTTTCTTGTATCTAGTACTTATGTGATTCTTTTCATTTATTACTAGTTAATCACTTCTCTTTGAGCGATGGAAACAGTGGGTGATTCTAGATCAAGTTCAAAATAGAAGAGATCATTTGAGGTAAATTCTTTTAAAAATCCTAGTTTTTATACAGGAAGATTTTATTCTATACAGGTATACTTTGTGCTCTACATTTGATCACTGTCTTCAACCCTGGGCGAAGCCCCCCACCCTCCACCGCCATCGCTAGCTACACGTACCCCCTCTCTCCAACCTCCAAGTAACCTCTGTTAGTATGACGGTTTAACAGCAGCGAGCACATATATATTCTTCTTTTCTCTCCAGTTCTCTCTTCAGCCTCTTTTGATTTTAATGTTTTTCATCATCCCAATTACAAAAGTAATGCCTTGGCTAATGATCTTATAATTTTAGTTTATATTTATCCCAGGTTTACTGCTGCAATGTTTTTCTTATTTCATCATTGTTGTATATTACTAGCAGTGAACATGTATGTCGTACCATAACCAATGTCAAGCTTCTATCCAGCAAACGAAGTCGTTATATTACTTGCTTCATCCAGAGGTCAGTGATCTAATAATGTTTTTTTTTGGTTATCTTGACAGATGTTCTACAAGCAGGCAAAGAAAACCAACCGGTGCTGTACTATCCTAACTGCACGAAGATTACTGCAAACCCAGTTTTAACTTTGACAACTGAATCGAGCATCGATGGAATATGGGTGGCCGAATACCTGTTACACTTTATTTCATGTTTTGTAATCAAATGTTGATGTTGTTTGAATGTTAGTTCGGTACGATATTTTCTGAGTTGAAATGTTGGTAGTGTGGATTTAATACTTTGTAGTTTTTATACTATACCGATGTATGTTGGTACTTATCATTATGGTTGATTATGCTCAACATTTTCACTTTGATATTGTATATTAAAATTTGACTTGGGCCATGTTCTTAAAAAGATTGTCCATGTAATTGAATACTATATGATTTTGACGTAGGGAACCAAGAACAACTCAATCGGAACCGTTACAATAGCTCAATTAAAAACGCTACAATAGCTTGATCAAAACTGTTGCGATAGTTTAATCCAAACCGTTGCGTTAGGTCTTTTAAAACTGTTCTAATAGCTAAAAAACCGTTGTAGTAGCTTAAAAACTGTCGCAATAGCTCAATCAAAACCGCTGCAATAGCTTAAAAAACCGTCGCAATAGCTCAATCAAAACCATCGCAATGGCTTAAAAACCGCTTGCCTTTTAAAACCGTTGTGTTAGATGCGGGGGCAACGGTTCAAAAAACCGTCGCAATAGAGTTCAAAACCGTTACGGTAGAGGTAGGGCAACGACAGCATATGAGGCGGTTTGAGAACCGTCGTACTTGCTCAAGGGCGACGGTTCCATGGCTAGTGCAACGATTTTGAACCGTTGCGTTAGAGCAAATATGTGGTAGTGAAATGACTAAAAATTGTAGGATATAGCTCTTAAAATCATGCATTTTGACCATCATGAAATTATTTGTTAATGACTTAGAACAACTAATAATTGCCAGAAATTATGGATTATAGCTCATGAAAATATGTATTTTGGCCTTGGTGAAATTATTTGCCAACTGATTGAAATGATTAAAAATAGCCACAAATCATGTGTTATAACTCATGAAAATCATGAAGTTTGGCCCCCATAAAGTTATTTGCTAATGGCTCACAATGACTAAAAATGACTAGAAATTGTGGGTCAATTTTCTAAACCCCCAAAACATCAAGGGGCTGTTTGGTTGTTGTTGGTAAAGTTGTGTATTTATGACACAACTTGGAAAGTTGTTGTCCACCTCATCAATTTTACGTTTATACTTTTCTTTGTTTGTTTTAGATTCCATTGGAATCATAAATTGCTTGTTTGGTTTGTAAATGTAACTTTAATTGTTTGTTTGAAAAGTGTAAAAAGTGGTCCCTACTCAAATGATCATATTGGTTGGAATTATTTTTTATTATTTTTTCCTGACTTCAATGTCAGCTTTCTCCTAAAATCATGACTTTTTTTTATGAAATTACTTTACAAACCACATCAGCATATGAAATTACTTTATACTATTTTTACAACTACAAACAAACAATTGAAAGTGATGAAAGCTGACATTGGGACCCATTTTTTTACACTTTCCATCCTTTTACATGGTAAAAACATACAACCAAACAGCCCCAACCCCCCCCGGGCCCCACAAATTATTGCAGCGCAAATTTTGGGTCAATTTTCCGTATTTTGCCCACTATTAATATCTAAGAGGAATTATGAAATCATTATTTCTATGGAAATGTGAGTTAGAGTATTGGTAAAAATATTGATATGGAAGCAATGGTGAGAATTTCAGTGAATATAAATTTAGTCTGAGATGTCTAAAGTTTTGAATTACCTAACAGTTATATCTATTGCAATATTTTGTTGACATCTATTTATATATTGCCATAGGTTTTAATATCATTTAGGTTCTACTATTATTTTTCGACTATCATTTTTCTATTATGCAAAAAAGGCGTATTGTATTATGCACGCAAGGCGTGCGGTGCAGTACCGGTATAAATAAGACAAAACCCCTCAGTAAGTATTTCAACTGTAAAGTAACCTACAGTTTATATCCATATAATTCCTAAAAGGTTCTACGCAACAAGTCAAATATTCTTCTGACCTAATGGGTGAAGAAAGAAGTACCAACGACAATAACTAAACAAGTTTTAAAAATCAATAAGAAAATACTGCGTTTTCTTGTTGTTTTAGGGGTTTAGCGTAGCCCCCGTATTTCCAACATCAAGAACATCAAGCGTTGGCTGATTCTGCACGTTACAAAGCATATAATACATAGAAAATACTTCAAGAAATTCCACAAGATAGACCACTTCAATATTCTAAGATAACTCATCAAGCGTTGGCTGATTCTGCACGTTACAAAGCATATAATACATAGAAAATACTTCAAGAAATTCCAGAAGATAGACCACTTCAATATTCTAAGATAACTCATATATAACTACCTCACATCCTACTCCATATTCCAAGATTAGTTAAAAATTCACAGACAATTATACCAAATCCTATTATAAGCCTTATTTCAACCAACTACATTGATTGTCAGGACCGCAAGGAATCAACAGAAGAAACGAGAAGATTAGACTTGCATAACCTTACCGTAAAATCCGTATTGAAACAGACAATTCAAGAACTCGGGCTTGAACGAGTACAATACCAAAAACTAAACAAAAACCTGCTCACTAAATGGACTAAACAGAGGTGAAGGGGGAATGACTGGCTGATGAGTGGATTAGGACATGTTGTTTTTACCTTAGGATGAAGGTTTACACCACAGTGCGATCGAACTTGGCTTGGCCTTTTGGCATTTTTACTAGCCCCCCGAAAATTTCAAGCGTCGAGAAATACTTGACCATAGATACTCAAACTAGCCTATTCAGACACCAAGGTCAAAAGAAAACCCTCTTTCTTTGCTTGCTACACTTGAAAAAAAAGCATGGTCCAAGTTGGCTCGGGTGCTACCCATAATAAGTTCATAAATTCCAAGGTAGGCAGGAAACTGGAATTGGCAGATTTCAGTGTGGTCAAATACTGATGGGAACCTATCTAATGCTAATACCAGATGAACTTTGTGTTAAACAAGAAGTTGCTAGAAGTTCTTCGAATGGAACTAAGAGTATATTGCAACTAGGCCAAGGGGATTTCATCAGGAAGTGGCCAAGGTTATCAAACACCACGAATAGCTTCTCTATATATACACAAAAGGCAACTAATATGCATGAGGAACGCACTTGAAGCTCAACATACATTTCCAACTAAATCTTCAAAGAGCTAGGTACTCGAGGTATCGGCAAGCATTTCAAAACTCAGTTACCCTCTCCGACGAAATTTCGTCATAAATTCCCTTGGATCAGACCACCTTGTATCAGGCCCTACGTCTAAAAGACGAGATTGAAACACAATATACATCTGTAACTTCAAAGGAATGCTACAAGAACTTCAAGAAATCGCTGTTTACAGCCAACTTAGTTCAAAATTTATATATAACTTGATTACATAGACAATAAAAACGTCAAATCAACGAAACCTCATAAAAGGCAGGATCCAGACACCCTAAAATCCCCACATTGAACTTACCGCCTAAATCAATGCAATATAGACACCAAAAATTAGGTGTGTCCATCCGACCCAGCCCAGCCCGGAAATCCGGGCTCGGGCCGGGCAAAACCGGAGCCCGGACCCGGGTACCCCGGGCCGGGTCCGGGCCCGACCGGGCCGGTCCGGTTTATTTTCTTTTTTTTTAATTCTATTTAAAATTTAAATTATACAAAAAAAAACAAAAAATTTAATAAAAAACAATAATTTTATTAATCACTTAAAATAACATAAATTATAAATAAAAAATTATAAAATAAATTTTTTATTAATAATTAATAAATTATTTATAAATTACAAGTATAAATTTATTTTGGGATTCATCGCATCACAATAGATAAGTACATCCCAAGATTCCTAACTAGGTTTTTTTTTAAATTTTTTTCTTTTCTTTTTTTTGATAAAAAAATGCTAAAAATTAGTTTAACATTATTATATTTTATATAATTATGTATTAGTAAATTATTATGTAACTATATATTATATATACATATATTATATGTAAATATATTGTATATATTTATAAGTTATAACTTGAGAGAGAGAGAGAATCGCATTAGTAGCCTTTGCTCGTTGGGCCAATGTGGAAGAAGTAGCCGTTGTAATATACTATACTTATATATACTTATATACTAAGAGAGAGAGTATACACGCACACATATTATACATATATAAGAGAGAGTATACTTATATTAGAGGGAATATACATATATAAGAGAGAATATACTTATATATACATATATACTAAGAGAGAGAGTATATATATATGTAAACATATATATTATACATATATAAGAGAGTGTATACTTATATATACTTATATAAGAGAGAGTATACATATATAAGAGAGAGTATACTTATATATACATATATACTAAGAGAGAGTATATATATACGTACATACATACATTATACATATATAAGAGAGAGTATTCTTATATATACTTATACTAGTGTGTGCCCCGTGCGAAGCACGGCAGCTTATTTTTTCTATCATTGTATTTTAAATTTGTGTCTCTCTAAGTTATAATACATTTAATTTGATTATTGTATACTTAAAATTAAAAATTATAAATCATATAAAAATATATGTTATCAATAATATTGTCATCTGATGCTTGTACATTCTTCCTCTAAAGAATATAAGGTCAACTCTAAATTTTCTAGTTTAAGAATATAAAATTTACTATATTACTAAATTAGCCGAATATCTCTTTTCAAAGTTTTGTCAATGGCCAAATTTTATAGCCAATTACTATTCAAGAGGTCATTTTATTTTGTATCTCGAGGGAGAGTTCTTTTGGAAAAGTAAAGTAGCTTAAATTGATCTTGCTATTATCTATTTCTTCATCTTCCATTTTTCTTGTTGTTCTACAAAAGAAAGTAAGTCTTTATATTTACAAATTCTCTTTTAAGTTGAAATTCCTATGCAATTTATTAATAGTTATTTGTGAACTTGTCCTTTTCATTTATTGTTATTGTCCACATTTTTCAATATAACACTGTTTAGAAGGT